CACAATAAACAAGGGCTGCTCCAAAAGTAATGCTTCCTGTGTTATTATGATGGCTCATTGAATCAGAGGCAGATGTTTGTGCTATGGCTGTAGAAGCTGAATGTTCCTGTCAATATGCCATTAAATTTTGTTGCCATGAGACAGATAGGAGCAGAGGAGCAGTCTGACAAAATGTTGTCTACATGGAAGTGTGTATGAAACAAATGTGTGTAACTGAACTCCATGCAAAAAAAAATTGCATCCACTGATATTAATTGATGCTTGCTGAATATTTATGGAGACCAAACAGAAGATGTCAGCACTGTAAGGTGGTGGGTGGTGCGTTCCAGAAGGGGCGATAGTGATGTGAAAAGCAAGCCACATTCTAGTTGGCCATGCAAAGTTGTCACATCATGAAATGAAGATTGTCTCGATCATCTATGTGGTGGTAGATTATGACTGGAGAACAGTGTACAGAGCTTATTATCAGTGCATTAGAAATTATGGTAGAAACGTTGAAATATCTCGCTGTTTGCACTAGCTGGATCCCACAGATGTTCACACAGGAACAAAACAAACACTGTATGCAAGTTTGCCAGCAACTGCTGAAGCAATATGCAGTAGAAGGTGGCAGTTTCCTAGACTGCATCATTGCCAGTGACAAGACGTGGTGTGAACACAACAGGCTGGAGTCAACACAGCAGTCCATTTAGCTGCACCTTATGAATTCCCCATTGAATAATGACACAGCACCAATGGTTAAAGCAATGTACTTTTTCTTTTGGGATAGGAAAGGGGTGATTCTTCCAGATTTTCTGGAACCTGGAAAAACCATAAGCTCTGATCTCTACACTGTGCTGCTGACTAAGCTGAAAGATTGAATTTTCAGAGTCAGCTCAGAGAAGAAGGCAATCTTTTCCTTGAAGCATGATAATGCCAAGTTCTATACCAGTTTGAAGACTGTAGAGGACGTTACCAGTCTTGGCTAGACTATCCTACCACACCTGCTCTATAGTCCAGATTTGGCATCGTCTGTCTTCTGTCTGTTTGGGCCAATGAAAGATGGACTACATAGACAACATTTTCCTAGCAACATCATCACCATAGCACCTGTGAAAAAGTAGGCCAGCTCCACTGGTTCATATTTTTAAGAGTGTGGCATACAAGTTATTGTTCATTGTTGACAAAAAATGTATACCTAATGTTGATAACTATGTTGACAATAGTATTTTGTAGCTGAAAATTTGCTCTATCGAATAGTATTGTATCTGCTGTAGTTTCTATGGAAATAAATAAGAAGTATAGCTTTCAGAGCAACCTACACAGAGTAAAAGAAAAAAATTGTAGAAAAGTAAATTTTGGTGATTTGTCATGTTAAGAGCCTGATGGCTTCCTGATAAGATATTTTGAAGAATGTGTATAATTTTACTAAAATTTATGTGGACTCTTAAAAAAAAAAAAAAAAAAAAAAAAAAAAAAAAAAAAAAAAAAGGAATAATTAAAATATGCACAGCTTAGAAATTAAAAATATTTTTATTGAAAGGAGGAAAATAAAATTATCCTTTGCTCAATTAGTAAGCATGACATAGGAAATATTTATTATAAATGACCTTTTTAAGCATTTCCTAATGCTTAAAAATGCAAAAAGAAAGATTACTCTAGTTAGGAAGTCTGTATTATGGGATGAAAGCTTTTTATTTTTATTACAGTTCAATTTTGAGGTGCATGATCATTCAACCTGTGCAGTAGAACTGTTTTCAGAAACTTCAGGCATTCATTTATTCATGTCCCCCTGCACATAAAAGTTAACAAGTCTTGCTTATTTTGATGCATCTAATAAGAACTGATTTGATGATAGCATAGTTTATTGTGGCCCAAGTAAAACTAAGTCATTAGATAGACAGTTTGTGATGAGTAAAAATAACACCTCAGCAATACCATCTGGATTCTCATGATTAAATATAACCTTCAACCAGTTTATTTTTTCCAACATCAAGCTGTCCTGTAATTCTTTGGTAGCTATCTTACAGTACTTAATTAATCATTTGTTCCATATTTTTCACCTACTTCTCAATGTTAATAACCTTGCAATTTATGTCTTGCTTTATTTTAACATTTCTCTTCTAGCTATTTTGAAATTTCATTCTAAAATTAACTACTTTATTTTAAATATCAGGTAACTCAAATGTTTTCAGTAAAAAAATGCAGGCTAAATATCATAGGGGCAGAGAAATAAAGAAGATAAAAAGTATTAGAATAAAAATGATACGAAACTAATAAAATTTCCTTATATATATATTTTCATCCTACTTTCTAAATATCCATGGTGGATGAGGCCAAAGATTTATGTTGTTCATATCTGTCTCTAAAGATTATTAAAAAACTCACGTAAAATGTAAAAGACAACCCATTTCTGGAGTCCAACAGTCTGCAGTTCAGAATGTTATGAACCATGGAAACAGTCTTTGGATTTTTCTTTCATTAATCAGTACTTTTCAGCATACCCAATATTCTGCAGCAGAGAATTACAGTTTAATAAGATGCTAGACTTTTTGTCTTCCTTTATTTAGTCATTCTCCATATGGAAGATGTTCAGAATCTTCAGTGGTCTTTGATGCCTTTGATTTTTTTCTATTTCAAGTGAATATTTTTTAATACATTAGGATCAGAACTGGACATTATTCAAGATGCAAGCACAAGAAGGATTTATGAAGTGGTACAACTGTAGGAAAGGGTTTGGATTAGAGGTTTCTGTTTTTTTCTGTTTAGAGAGAAAGACTTCTATTTTCTGCTGCTATTCATTCATTTTAATTTCTATATTCTAATTTACTTTTGTTAGATCAGTAGCAATTTCAGATAAGCTATTTCCATGCAATTAACTAAAATAACTCCAACATCTAATTTCTGGGTAGTCATCTTAAAATTCTTGACTCTAAATGTGAAAATAGGATTTTTCTTGATTTAGCACTTACCTATTCCAGTTTCACTGCTTTATTGTTCAGCTTTATGTGGTTTTCCATAGTTTGCCCTCCTCTTCATTGCTCCAAGTAACTTACTGATATAAGCAAACCTGAACATCCTTTTTGGACATGAAAGGCATTGCATTTCTTGACTCAGAAATACAGCTAAAGGCAGTAAGATTGGAGGCAGCCTGGGCTGCAGTGACCATGCCCTGATAGAGTTCGTGATCTTGAGGGATGTGGGCCTGGCAAACAGTGGTGTCAGTACCTTGAACTTTGGAAGAGCGAGGTTTAAGCTATTCAATGGACTGTTGGCCAAGATCCCTGGGCATGCTATCTTTAAAAACAAAGATGTTGAAGAGAGCTGGCTACTCTTCAAGGATGCCTTCCTGAGACCACAAGAGCTCTCCGTCCCTCTGAATAAGAAAGCAGGCAGAGGAGGTAGGAAACTGGCATGGCTTGTCAAGGACATGCTGGGTGTGCTGAGGGTGAAGAAAGGCATGTTCAAGATCTGGAAACAAGAGTGTGTCACCTGGGAAGAACACAGGGATGCTGTCCAGACTTGCAGACGTGGGATCAGGAAAGTGGAGGTGCAGGCAGAACTGAACTTGGCAAAGGACATGAAAAACAATAGGAAGACATTCTACAGGTACATTGGCCAGAAGAGACATGCTAAAGTGAGAGTACCTCCTTTGGTAAACGTAAAAGGAGCACTGGCTTCAATGGATGAAGAGAAGGATGAGATTCTGAATGAGTTCTTTGACTTGGTCTTCATTGGTGGCCAGGATTGCAGCATTTCTCACGTCCCTGAGCCCTGCATCCCTAAACCTCTAGGTGGGGACCGGGGCAGTAAATCCTCCCCCACTGTGATGGCAGAGCAGCTCCGAGACCACCTCATGAGACTGAATGTGTCTATGAGGCCAGATGGCATGCATCCCAGGAATCTTAAGGAGCTGGCTGAGGTGGTTGCTGAGCCGCTCTCCATCATACATGAAAAGTCTTGGCTGTCAGGTGAGGTCCTAGATGACTGGAGGAAGGGTCATGCTATTCCCAATTACAAGAAAGGGGGCAAGGAGAACCTGGAGAAATACAAGTTGGTGAGTCTCACCTGTGTACCTGGGAAGATCATGGAACAGATCATCCTGGATAACATGCTTGATCATGAGGAATGTCCATGTGATCCGAGACAGCCAGCATGGCTTCACCAGGGGAAGGTCATGTTTAATCAATCTGGTGGCCTTCTATGATGGAGTGACGGCATCAGTGGACAAGGGGAAGGTGACCAATGTCATTTACCTGGACTTGATCAAGGCCTTTGACATGGTCCACCACTACATCCTTATCTCCAAATTGGAGGGATGTGGATTTGATGGGTGGACTAATCAATGGATAAGAAATTGGTTGAAAGATTGCAAACACAGGGTGGTCATCAATGGTTCTATATCCAAGTGGAGGCCGGTAATGAGTGGGGTCCCACAGGGGTCTGTCTTGGGACTGGTGCTCCTTAACATCTTTATCAATGATATTGATGATGGAATCGAGTATACCCTCAGCAAATTTGCTGATGACACCAAGCTGATTAGTACAGCTGACATAAGGAAGGAAGGGATGCCATTCAGAGGGGCCTCAATAGGCTTGAAAGTTGGGCCCGGGTGAACCTAGTGAGGTTCAACACAGCAAAGTGCATAGTTTTGCACTTGGGCTGGAGGAATCCCAGGCATCCATACAGATCAGAAGGAGCAGTCCTTGAGAGCAGCCCTGCGGAGAAGAACCTGGAGCATCTCTCCTATGGAGAATGGCTGAGTGAACTGGGTCTGTTCAGCCTTGAGAAGAGAAGACTGAGAGGGGACCTGATCCAGGTCTATAAATATCTAAGGTGTGGGGGGCAGAACGGCGAGGCTGGACTCTTTTCAGTGGTGAGTGAAGACAGGACAAGGAGAAACGGCTGGAAACTGCAGCATAGGAAGTTCTGCACAAATTCTTTACAGTGAGGGTGACGGAGCACTGGAACAGGCTGCCCAGGGAGGTGGTGGAGTCTCCTTCTCTGGAGATGTTCAGGACCCGCCTGGATGCCTACCTGTGTGACCTGGTGTAGGGAAGCTGCTTTGGCAGGGGAGTTGGACTCGATGATCTCTGGAGGTTCTTTCCAAACCTTACAATTCTGTGATTCTGTGATTCTGTGAACCTACACGTGTGAGGAATCTACACGTGTGAGGAATGCCTATACGCGTGTGAGGAATGTGTGAGGAGCTAGCTCGTTTGAGAAGAGCCTACACGCGTGTGTGAGGAACTCGCAGGAGGAGCCGACTTGCATATAATGTCTCCTGCGAGCCCGCGGATTCCCAGCTTGTAAGGTGGTAGCAGATTGGCTGCAGAAGTCCGCGGTATTGCGGTACTTTCGCCTAAGGGCGCGCCTGCGGCAGTAAATTGCTGTGGAAGTCTGGAGTGGTGATAACCTGTGACGTGGCGGCAGGTCGCTCTTGGATCAGGACATCAGTGCTGTGCTGGTGATGGAGCAAGTTATCAAGGTAATCCTTCAAGGGCTATTTCAAGTCCTTCAAGGGCATTCAAAGGACTATTTCGGCGAGGATGCTCCTTCTGAGAAGGACATTGCCGCTGTACTTACTCGCCTGGAAGAGGAGTGGAATCTTCCCTCCCCTCAGGGCATTTTAGACTCCACTAGATGGGATGCATTTACATCCACACTTGCGCAGCGTGAGATAGCGAAGAAAGTTGTGGAGCTTAAAGTTTGGGAGCTGATCCTCGGATGTCTGAAAGCAGCGAGGGAGGAGGGTAGAATTCCTGAAGCTGCGCGTGTTATGATGGGGTTGGAATTTACTAACGCCTTGAGAAACGGCGCGGGAAGCGTATTTTCTTGCAGGTCCCCTGAGGAAGAGAACACCGCAAATATGTCCTCAACTATGGCGACTAACATCTCGTCCGCACCTTCGGCACCCCTCCACTCCCCCCTCGAGTCCAGCTTCGCTTAAACAAGTAGAAGACTGCGCTAAACTGTCTACACTTTTATCTTGCAAAACGGCTCAAGTGCAGGAATCCAAGGTCGTTGAAACTCCCCAGCCGTGTCCACGGCAACCACTGTATCCTTCTCTGTGTAATCTAACACCACCTGCGGGGGCAGGGGGAAGAAGGGACCAGACGCTCATCCCCTCTCTGGAGGTGGAATGCAGTAACACCCAGGGGAGTGGGGACTGCGGGAAAGGCTCGGGTAGGGATTGGTCAAAAGTTAGAGAGGTGGTAGAAAAAGAAGGAGAGAGAAAGGGAAGCGATGTAACTTACAGGTGCTCGGATGATAGCGTCGGGCCAGCACTGTCCATCCTGATTGCACCTGAAGGAGTAGGTAGCGTGTGGCCAGTGCTGTCTGCTCAGGTTGCACCTGAAGGAGAAAGACAAAATGACGATAGTCTCCGGACCCACTCCCTACCACTGTGTTCAGACCCATTGACTTGACCCACATACCCTTTTACAAGATTGAGCGCACATGCAACCAATCAGAAGCCTCTACAACAGTCAGTGTTTGATCAAAGGGAGATGGGCAGAGAGGGAGGGGTGCGGAGCCCGCAGCTTCCAGCTGTGACTGAAAAGGATAGCGAAAGGAGAGAAGTGAATTTGCATTTAGGAGTTAAGAGGAATGCACTAACAGATTGTGGGAAGTTTAGATCTAGCCTGATAGAGGAAGGAAAAGTACTGGAGATCTTCCTGATAACAGAGACCCGGAATGGGTACCCCTTGATTCAAAAGACATCACACGCTTGATAGATTGTGTAGAGAAACGGGGATTGAAATCACTCCTCGCTCTGACTGCATTAGAAGTCCTGACAGCATCAGGTCTTTACTTTCCTCATGATGCAATGAATCTGATGCACATGGTGCTTAAGCCAATTAAGTATACATTATGGGCATCAGAATGGGTTCCCTCCAAGGACAGGTGGCCAGATTGAGGCCTGGAGAACAAGAACAAGGATTTGTTTGTGAGAGCAATGCTCTCAAATCTTGAGACATCTGCCTTGATATTGAAGAAATGTTTGTCATTTTTGAGGTACATTCCAACAGGTACCTGAGACAATGTTGGTATATATTGGGAAAGGTTATGTTTGTAGAAGGATCCTTTGTAATTCCTTTGTAATTTCATACTCATAGGTAGTGCCACTAGAGCTATCAGCAATCACTCTAATCTCTAATCTCTCTCTCTATAACTTTACCAGTATCGTAGGATGTGGCTTTAATTATTTAGCATCAGTAACATCATATCAATTATTGTAGGCACAGCATGCTTCACTGTCAGAACTGCACATGATCTTCATGCATCTCTTCATATAGGTGCCAAGGCTTTGGCATGGGCCTGTTCTATTCCCTTGCCGACAGTTCGTAATGTAGTTCAGGCATGTCCATATTGTAATTCTGCCCCAACTATTGGTGCAGGTTTTAACCCCCGTGGCTTAAAGCCATTACAGATCTGGCAGACGGATTTCACATGGGAACACCGTATGGCCTCTTGCCCATGGCTCGCCATTACTGTAGACACAGCTTCTTCTATGATATCAGTCATTCAATGTGCAAAGTACAATTCGACCGCAGCACAGAGTCATTGGGCCACTGCAATAGCAACTATGGGGTTACCCAGCCAGATAAAAACAGATAATGGGTCTTGCTTCATCTCGACTCAGGAATGGGAGGTGGGCTGGATGATTCTGGTATGGGGAAGAGGCTATGCAGCAGTAAAACATTGCGAGACAGGAAAAATAGTGTGGATACCGTTGCGAAAAATTAAGCCAGACATCAGCAAGGAACTAACTGGAACATGAGTCTTCCCATTTATAGCATTGACTCCTGAGAAGGCACAGACAACAGACAAGATCAGCAAAAGAACAAGAGAAGGAGCTGCTCCAGAACAGCTTACCCACAAAAGAAAGGTATTTGTGCTAACATGATAACTTGTACCAACTGCTAACACACATCAGAGGCAGTGGACAGAAAGTCTTCATCACTGTTCACCGTGACAAGAGAGACATCATGTCTTAGAGAGAGCAAAGAAGGAGAACACCACTGATGGGAAGTGCTTCTTGGATGGTTCATCAAAGCGACGGGAATGTTTAACTCTGTTTAACTCTATTCTGTATTCAGTTATAGTTGTATTAGATCTAACATTAATACATTTAGTGCTTATAGTCATATTATATATAGGTATATAAGTATATAGTCATATTCTATATATAAGTATATTAGGTATATAGTTATATTACGCATATATAGGTATAGTGTATGCTGAGACAAATGGCTTGTATGGCAAATGCTAAGATGAACGAATCAGCATCGTCTAAGAATGCAATATATGGTTTTATGTAGAACTCATGTTTAAGACATTAGGACTTTAGGATTAATAGGTTATAGGGTTATTAGGGTAGGATTAGTCTGCGAATTGCGATGTAACGGGGCACGGCTTAACCGAGAGGACAATGGCTTGTATAGGCGCAATGCAGGGATTTTGGGGTGCACGCGGTTAGGGTCCTCTCGAGTTGTAGTGGACTTTCTTGAGCTTGGAGAGGGGGAGATGTTGCAGGCAACAGCGGGACTCCCCCACGGGATGTGATGCAATAGGACCTCTCCCTGCTCTATGATTGATGTGTGGCACGTGCCCTTAGGGGCATAGACGAAGCACATAGGTTATATAAGCTAGAGTTCACGTGTAATAAACACCATTGCTGTTCATCATATTGGTGTGTACATGCAGTTATTTGGTCCTGGCCTGGTTAAGGTCAGTACCGTAGGAGGCAATGCAACACACCTTGAAGCAGGGGACACCCTGCTGGCACTGCCTATCGCATTCACCACCACCATGTGTTTGTTCTTTTTAGCAGGTTAACAGTATTTCTTGTCATTATGCTATGTTTGTCTTTCTAACATTTTTAGTATTGTCAATAAAGGCCTTGATTGAGTTATAATGATTATGTTATTAATACAATTAGTGTTACGATTCTGCACAACAGCTGTAGACAAGAACTAATATTTTTCAATGGATCTAGCATATCTGCACCTCAATGCGCTATTCTTGTTTTATTTACTAAGAGAGGTAACAGTAGAAAGTAGGGGACACAATAACTTGGCATAGACGGGGGTAGATGTGGACGGTACTCGGTGTGGGTGGTACGTGGGCTAAGGTGGGTGGTAGATACAGGGGGTGATTTTGGGTGGTGCTTAATGGGTCATGGGTTCACGGGGCAGTCACGTGTCATGGTATATAGGCAGTTGTTGAGCAGCATTAAATTGGCACTTGAGCTATACCCTATAGCGTGCATCTCTCGTGTCCCTGTGCCGGGTGGGGTTGCAGACAGATACGGGTGCTGATAAGGGTGTTGTGGACTGGGCTAGAATTGTGTGGAGGTCTGCAACATAGTCTACATAAATTATACTGAGTTAAATATGGTCTATGACTACGAAAAGTATTCATCCTTGCAATCTGCAGGTGTACAGTACAATTTGAAATTTCCCAGATGTTGCATATGTTTATTTATTTACTGTAAATAATTTACAGCTAAATTAATATACTGAAATCTTAGAAGTATTTCCTGCTCCCACATAGTGCATGTGTTTAAAAATCTCTGAGAACTCCTTTGAAGTGTTTAGAGCAGTAATAAACATGAGAAAAAATCACAAACACAATACAGAAGCATTCTCAGGCTTGCTTTGTCATACTAGTAAGCAGAGGAAGAAGAAAAAAAATAAGAGATTCTACATGAACCTTACTGCACCTCCTATTTATTATTTTTGTGAACACCACTTTACTTTTGATCTGATGAGAATCCACCACTTGTTCCTGCTCTGTTATATAGTTCCTGGAAGGAATTTCCTCAAAACAGTCCAGTGAGGGGGCACGAAGATGATAAAGTCTGGGAGCACTTTTTTTATGAGGACAGGCTGAGCAAACTGGGTCTGTTCAGTCTTGAGAAGATTGAGAGGGGATCTGATTAATGTCTACAAATATCTAAGGTATGGAAGGCAAAGAAATGATGCCAGAGTTTTTTCAGAGGTGTGCAGCAATAGGACAAAGGGAAATGGCCACAAACAGAAGGATAGGAAGTTCT